GTGAAATCCCATTCAAATCAGTGGATATTAAATGGGCACGAAACCAACAGAGTAAGGACATACAGTCCTCAAATTTATTCCATCTGTAAAGGATAAAACAGGCCGAGCCCACCTCTTCAGTGAATAATTTGTTTAGTTGTTCCTAATGGGTCTTTCCATTTGTGTATTCGGCTGCTCGTTTCCGCAATTTAGCACAAATTAAAGCACAGAGAGGTCTCCCTGCACGGGGTGCCGATGGCTGGTGATAAAAGTGAGATGTCTGCTCGGCTAGTGTTGGATATGAGCCAGCCCACGCCAAGACACTGCCCTCTCTGTTTTCCTGTCTGTGCCACAGTGCAGCTCACAGCTCAACCTCAACCCAACATGTGAAGAATCAACCCTCCAAAACAAGAAAACTATGCGACAGTATACGTGATAACTGAATGATGAACCACAGAGAAATGCACCAGAATTAGCAAAACACAAAAAGCTTTGCTTCTTAGAATTACATTACAATGATGCAGTGTCACACATATTTTTAGGCATATTTGATTTATGCCAAGCCTTTTACAAATTTGGTTTATGATCAATTATGGCCACTGCATGGTGTTTTGGAAAAGTGAAGATAAATAAATGATGTTAGTGCTGTAACAATCAAATCTGTTTTGATACCTGATTGATTCTGTGCTGAAGATGAGTGAAAGCATCCACTCTGTGTTGTTAGCTGCAGGCTAAAGCCACTTTTTCTGTTATATAAGACATATAACAAAAGAACAGGGGGGTCATAGTTGTTTCTTCATTAAGTCGAGTCAACAGAGCCAAATCGTAAAATGTAAAATGGTCATACTAGATGCTGTTGTGTTACACGTCATGCTATTTAAAACACGTTGGGGAAGCATTGTGCTGGTGTTGTTAGCTTTATAGTCTACAGCCGTACTAGTGGCTCTGTGAGGCTGTACTTGCACAGTAGTGCTTTAAGCTAAATGCTCAGTTTAATGTTTTAGCATGCTAACATTTTCTGATTAGCATTAAACACAAAGGACAGCTAAGGATGAATTTCACCAGTTTTGCAGATATTTAATCATAAACTAATGTAAAAGACAGTTAACAGTTAGTGATTATAGTTGATCCTGAGGGAGGCATGAATGTCTGTAACGGGAAGTCCCATCAATAATTGTTAAGATACTTATTTCTGGACCAGAGTGGTGGACTGACCGACACAGGCTTCTATATAATTTCCCAGAGCCTATTTGACTTATTCAAATTTCTTGTTTTATAAGAGCAACAGTCAAACACCAAGATATCCAACATATGACGTTGCTAGCAGCGTGGCTAAAATGCCCAACATTCCCTGCTTTTTTTCTCAAATATCTTCATATATTCTTATTTTCTTGTCATATATGATTATAAACACTACCATCACATGGTCTGGAAAGTTATAATAGCCCACTGTTCACTATTTTCTGTCATTTATAGAAAGATAATTGTTAGTTGCAGCCTTAATACTATTTGAGGATGTTCCATTATACAATATTCATACCAAGAAAGACTGGACTTATTGTTTCAAATGGGCAGTTTATGAAAGCTCAGAGCCTTTTAGCAAAGGGCTGTTACTCTGTCAGAGGTTCAGATCTGATATGCATCTACATGCCGTGTAATGGCGAGTTTGAAAATGACCCCCATGCTGCCTGGGTCCAATCTCCACGTTAATATCCATCCCCCCATGAGAGACAATTATGTTCCGCTGTAATATGAACATAGTATGCTAACAACCCTCCTGCCATTAGTCACCGCAATGCCTCCTCTGGGCTCTCGATGTTCAGAGTTATAATCTCCCCCTCTTTACTCCGAGCTGGACAACAGCTCCTTCTGTCCGGACTCCAAGGAAAGCAGGAGGCCATTAAGTGCAGAGCAGATAGACATGGGAAGGGTCCGGCACTATGTGAGAGCAGCTACTTCTCTGCTATGCTCTAAATCCATTTGGCCTGGTAGCTGCATACACGCCCACAGTCAAGAGGGGTTACTGTGTTACAGAGCAGCATTTTGTGCTAAATCATTGTTCCTGATTCGTTAGGCAAGAAAAGACAGGAGAAAGGGGAAACAAGCGGGGCAAAGAGAGACAATGAATGCAATCTAAATGAGAAGCAGCACTGCTTTATGATGATCATTTCAGCTCGTGTTCTTCATTTTAAAAACAATCCTCTGCGCAGCCTCGACTGACAGAATTTGGGTTTACACGCTGCATCCGAGTCGACTGGCAGCGTTTGCAGTGCTAATGAGTCCGTTGGGTTGTGCAAGTAGTGGGTTGAGACAGAACTGCTGAGACAACAGAAAAAAGGTAGCTTCTCTTTCTTAGACCAGAGCTGGACAGCTAGAGTTATTAAATATTTAACACCCCAGCATGTGGTCAATCATAATCCTTTTCTCTGACAGGGGCTGAATTTAGAGCAACAAAACGTGGATCCACTGTAGAGGTTATCAAAAACAGAAATTCTTGGTTGTCACAAATGAAGGCCATACAGGAGGTTAAAGATCAGCTTACAGTGAGACTGCACAAGATCCTGAGCCAGAGAACCACATTACCATTAAGTACATTTTAGAAGCTTACAAACATCCAGTGCTAAAACTATTGAGCACATATCAGTTAGATCAAACAGAAATTGTTCAAATGAGACTGATAATTTGAGTTGGAACACCTTTAAGCGACTACTAGCATCCGTTATGATAACTGATAATAGTTTCAGTAGTTTTTGGTGCAGAATATTAAATATTTGCTGATTCACCCATATTAATATATTTTTTTCCTTCTTTTTCTTGTAGTAACCGGAATGTGTTTGTTTTGGATAGTTAAAACAAGTTCAATGCATCACCCTGAGTTCTAGTAACGTACTTTTTCACTATTTCATTGACAAAACAATCATTACTGAATAATATATCACTAGTCGCAGGCCTACACTCAAAACACCAGTACTACAACACTAATTTTCATTATCGATTCGTCTACATCTTCTTGATTAATCGATTACTCGATTGGTCTATAAAAAGTCTGAAAAATATTCATAACAAGAGCCGAATGTCTTCAACACAAAATATTCCCATTTGTCAAGCTGGAACCAGATCATTTAGATAGTCTAAATTAACTAGATTAATCTGTTATCAGCGTCCAATAAATTTCCTGCCAATCAACTAATCAACTAAATGTTGCAACTCTGAAGTTGGTTCCTCACTGGACTGGCAGCTACTATTACTACACATATGGGAATTTAGGGACAAGGAGCCCCAAAGTGACTAATGAATCTAGACTCTCATGGCTTATGAGGAGCCAGAGAGAGGAAACGACTTACTCAAAGGCGAAGAAGAGAGCGCAGGTCCCGACGATGAGGAACAGGGTCAGGTAGAAGACTCCTTTCTGCCGGGCCATCATCACCCGGCCGTCGCAGCAGAAAGTGTTTTTACCCGGCAGCTTCTCCCATTTTCGCACCTTCCGTGTTATCATCACCGCCGACATGGTGTCCTCTGTGTTCAGATCCCTCAGTCCTTCTCTGGGTTAATGTCAGCTGTTAGACTGGAAAACGAGTCAGACAATAAACTGGTGGATCTTGCGCTCATATATTCTTACAGAAAGCGCTGATTCAATGTGACACACGGCCAAAAAAATCAAAATCAAACGACTTACTCTGTAATATTAAAGATTTCTGCACAAGGCGACGACTGTCAATCATTTTCTTTTGGTTTTTAAAACTGTCGCATTCACATCCTCAGTGTTTTCTAATCCTTATTATTTCCAGTTTGCAGTCTTTACTGCAGCATGTCATTCCCACAGTGAGGCTCCCACGCTGCTCCAACAACCTCAGTCCTCTCGCCGTCCACTCACTATATATTATTGTTATTATTATTATTATTATTATTAGGAGCGGAGGGGTGGGTTATTAGAAATCTATCCAAATGCTTGCGGCAGATGTTTCCCAGCAGAAGAATCCAGCAGTGGCTGTTGCATCGGGAGAGTGGACCTTGACCGATTGACATTCATATCATCTCGATAAATCATAAATGATCGTACAGGCGAAGCTGCTCCGTGTTCACAGACATCAGGCTGCGACCATGCTGTTGGACATGGTCACTATATATAAAAAAAATAATTCAATAAAATCCTTTAAAAATAAGAAATAATCGCCTGTATGGACGCAAACGTGCAAAAGCTGTTTGGGGTTTTTTTCCCGCAGGATGCCAGCTCTCGGTTTTAGTCAATGGCAGCAGGAAACACGCCTAGATTGAAATGTCTAATCTTAAAGGGGCAGGACAGGTAAAAGAAAAAACGAACAAAGGACACAGATAAAGGTCCTATTTAGATCACATTAATATGCTAAATCTCTCCCTTGTAGTATCACCCGAGGGAGGAGGGCTGTGAGAGTGTATTAATGAATGAGGTTTTAGACACCAGATGCATTAATCCCTCAAGTGTTGCTCCACAGAGCAAAGGTAAACACTGCAGAGGCCCTCAGAGGAAATCACTTTCCACTATAGGACCACAATGACAACAAGAGGTGTTCACTTGTACTGTTTTTACTCTGTCTCGACCTTCATTCACCTTGTATCACACATTTCTTGTGTTTCATGTAATTTACGGCTGCAACTAGCTAACTTGTTTTCATTATCAATTTATGTGTTTATCATTTTTTGGATTAATCAATTAGGCCTAGTTGTTTGGTCCATAAAATGTCAGAAAAATTATTGATTCCTGTTCAACATAAGTTGTGCCAGTTTGCTTCTGTAGTCACATCTCTGTGACCAGCACAGATCGTCCTACATTATGATCTATATATTATGTATGTGGAGTGAAAATTGTAGGAATGAGTTGTATATAAATTCTTAACATCAGTTTACAGCTCCTCTCCACTGTTATGTCTACCAGGTGATGAACTATTCCCCACACAGGCATGAATTTTAAACTGTGATTGTGTAAAAACTATGAAAGATATGAAAGATATGAAAACGTTAGAAAGTCTGAGTGGAGTTTCTGTGTGAATGTAATGTGTGGGAAGAGGTTGAAAATGAGTTTGAAGGGTTTTCTAAGTGACTTCCATTATAACTAAGCTTCAGAGAAAGTTAAATATTTAACTTTTTAAAGTTTTAAAGGGATTTGTTAGTTGAACAGTCCCCAAAATGTATGAAACTATGTGAAATATTTTGAGGTGTGAGTTTATGGCTGAAAATGTTTGAATAACTGAACATTACAGAAATTTAGTTTAAAAACCTGGAATATTTTGGAAAGTATGACCGGAATCATTGAGAGAAGTAATAGCACACCACTCCTAATTGAGCAGAATATTTTGATGTTCGAATTAAGTTTCTACGCTGAACAGTGTGGACGCAGGTAAGTGACAAAAAACATGGCAGAATAATAATAAATAACTGTGTAGGACATCAGTTAGCTTCCAGCACTTACAGCCAATACAAATGACTACAAAAATATATGCAACTCTCACATATATTTAATATTAACTAGCTAAAATCTTAACAAAAGTGCTTTCATATTATCAGTAATCATAAAATTATGATATGTTGCACTAAAATGGACACAAAGCCCTTTAATATTTAGGGGTTTGATTCTAGTTTGAATCATGAATTATACATTATTATTATTAATAAATAATTCTAAGTTGAGATAATCATTTAACAGAAGGTTATCATTATTGATCCTTTTTTGTCAGTATGTTCAACAGTAAATCCCTTGTCTTCATTCAGAAAGCACCAGTCTATCTTTTAGAAATCGACTCTGCAGCCACCAGAGAATCAGTACTTTGGCCTTTTTGAGCTTATAATTTAAAGTCTGCGTGGTTTGTGGTTACATGTTCATGGCCAGTAGTAGTCTAGTAATGGTAATTACATTTTACACTGGCCATATAAGCTGTAAAATATCCCCTGCTAAGTCTCATAAAAAGTGATTATGATGGTTCAATATTGGCTCAGCCCAGTCATACAGCCATTATAGCCTCCTTGTTGCACAGAGGCAAGGAGAAGACACACAGGAGAGGACTGAACCATAAACGACCCAGAGAGGAAACCAAACATCCTTCACTCTCAGTCTGTCCTGAAGTTGGAGACCACAGGTAGAAAAGCTACTGTATGTCTCCAGCAGTTAGGATTGCGCCTGTTTTATATCCACCCTAGAGGAGGACATTATTAATACATGACCTGTCAGATGGTGCTTTGACCAACCTGCCAACTCAGGTTCAAATGTACCCATGACTGCATGCATAGCAGCTCAAAGTCAGAATTCAAAATCTTGTGCCACTTTTCATTACATAAAGAGAGATCAGGGAGGATGAAGTATTCAGATCTAACCGCCAGCAGAAACCTTAAGGGTAGCAGATAGATAGATAACCCCCCAAAAAGGAAATGGTTTGACAGGAAAGACACAGGCCACTAATACCACATCTACAATGCAAACACTAACAAACTAACACATATATTCCAAAAGTGTTTGTGTCGCTCAAGAGTCAATCAATTAATAAAGACAACCAATAAAGACCAATAAGTTTTAACATGATGTCAAAAATACATCCAGTATCCAGAGAGCATGTCAACAACTCTACTGGCATTCAAGTTGTACCATTATGAAACCACCAAATAATTTAAATATGACTTTAAATTGTGTGAACTCTCACTAAAGAGGTGTAGATGTATGTCTAATGTATGTTTGTATGCTGCTACTGGATGCTTGAATTTCCCTCGGGATAAATAAAGTATCTATCTATCTAGATATTATAGTACAGACTGTGTGCATACAGCATGGTTGGATTTTTATATAATAGTGGCAAATCCTGAAATACATACTAAATAAATAAAATAGTATATGATATTATTTTGGCTGCTGTGCCTTAATGTTATTTATTTATTTTTCCTAGGGTTTGTAGCCTACCTTTGTATGAATTTCTGCCCCTTACCACAAGATATTCTTATACAGACTATTATTATACAGACTGATTTAATTGTTTCTGCTTTATTTAGTAGCAGTAGTAAAAAACAATACCTATATCAACATTACATTAACGTTACTTCACTAACACGTAACTTCATGAATTTGAACCGTTTGTCTCCATCTGTCGACAACAAAGAGAAACTGCTCCAAACGGATTTCTGCCATCTTGTAATTTAATTTATTACAGCTGTCATTCCCTAAGAAATATATAACACAAATAAACCCACCATCTTTTAAGAATAAATCTAAATCTGCTCTTTAATTTAACACAAAGCCCTTTTTTTTTTCTCCTTTACAATAAAGTTTAGTATTTTGAAAGGTCCGTCCCGCTAAATACTCCGACTAGAAACGCGTTGTGTGTTGTTGCTGCTGCGGAGCTACCGAGTACCTGTAACTTCTGTTGTAGACTAAATGAGCGCTCTTGAACCGTGAAACATAAACCCAGTAGAGGTGTTTGTTCGGTGGTAAATGGACGGTGTCCCCTGCCTTCGTGTGCCTCAGTGTCATGCACAACAGTTCAGGTAATCAGCCATCTAGTGAGTGAATAACTAAGATAAGTGAGCTATCCGTTAGCATGGGAACCTTAGACAGACTGGTGGGAGCTAAGCACAAAGAGACTGTTTAGAAAGTTAAATGGGTTTTCTGTGACTGTCTGTACTTATATTGATATCGGGTTTAAACGTCCTATCTTACAGGAAATGTCTGCAGTCCAAAGGAAGTCTGGACCTGAGTTTGTGCTTACTGAAAGACTCAGATGAGACAGTCCTTCTGCCCATCTCACCATCCTGTCTGTGGCAGCTTGATCTGCAGTCTCTCAGATCCATGGTGTCTTCAGACTGTGCTTGTGAAATAGTTTGGAGTCAGGTTATTAAAGCTGAGTTTCATTTGAATACTACTAGCAACAGACAGACACTATACTGCAGCTTTAAAGGTTTGTTTATGTTGTCTGCCCTGTTCGTCGACAGTCTCCTCTGCGGTCGAAGAAGGAGAGAGGACGGACGAGTGGAAATGAACTAGAGAAAATCCTCCAGGAGCTGTTGGAAGCTCATGGTACAAGATGGACGGAGGAGCTGAGGGGAGACCTCCCTCGCAGCTTCCAGAGGCATGGAGACCTAGTCCTGCTGGGAGACAACTGTTTCTCCCTGCCACTGTGGAAGAAAATGGGTACAGCACTTCTTTAGTACTAGGTGTACAAAATATAATTCAGGAGGAGAGTAACTGATCACTATTGACATTTCTTTTTTAGATCTACAGCTTTGGAGTACAGTGGCCAAAGGACTGGGGGCAAAGCGTCTGGCAAAGATGAGTCGAATATCCAGGGATGGGTTTAGGTCTCCCGTGGTGACGATGCTGTTAGGAGAGCACAGCTGGGTCAAACATGTGGACAATAGGATTATGTAAGTCTTTTTGCTGTCGATTTGCTCACTGAGAAGGTCTTGGGCACATTCATGAATACATTTCACCTTTGTTTCAGGTATGAGTTTGATGTAACCAAGTCCATGTTCTCAGCTGGAAACATAACAGAGAAGCTCCGGGTGGCTGGATTCGACTGCAGAGGGGAGACTGTGGTGGATTTATATGCAGGTAGGATAACTAATAGAACATGTGTCCTGTTTCATACAGCTCATACTGAGGACTGAGTGGGTTTAGATGTAATCCAGGCCCAGAAAACTGGCCCATCATGTTGCTTGTTATTGTGTCTAACCCTTGTGCTCTTCAGTAGTACTTAAACATTGTATGTATGTGTGACAGGAATGTTGGTGTGCAACCATTACAACTGTATCTCGTTTCAGGTATTGGATACTTCACTCTCCCTTATCTGGTTCACGCGGGCGCCAGTCACGTTCACGCCTGTGAGTGGAACCCTGACGCAGTTGAAGCTTTACAGAAAAACCTCGTGGCAAACGGGGTGTCAGACCGCTGCACTGTTCACCAAGGAGACAACCGACAAGTAACGTGTTTCCACATGCATCACGTACTGCTTATGTGACATGTATTGTTTACACACAGCTACAATATTAGCTCTGTCTTAATACTTCACACCAGGGATGAAAGTGTTGACTTAGGCCCTCTAGTGGTTGTCCTAGTTCAACCTTGTGATTTTTATGTTATCAGTAACTGCACAAAAGAAATGCAAATATAGATATAGTGGCAAATATAAGTTGTATTTCTGAGGTAATACTACACTAAATAAATAAAATAATGTTATATTTTGGGCATTGTTGTGGTAGAAGCTTAACTGTTACATTGTGTCTATCACTGTTAACAAGCCTACTTTATTTAATAATTTTATATTTAATAGGCTGCTTTTTTTTAATGTTGTTGTTAAATGGTTTTTTTGTCCCTGTCACTTGGCTATTGTTAGATTGGAAAATGTACTTTAAAATGTGCTTTACTTTATATTTACTTTTCTTCACAGAAATGACCTAAATGATGAGATATAGGCCTGCTGGGTATATTTTCATTTAGTTTTCTTACACACCTTAAAATGATAAGCCCTCCCTCCATGAAGCTTTGGCGACCTCTGATCGGGCCCCCGATATATTTATATATAGATATATTTATATATAGATATATTTAATATACCATATATGGTTTTGACATCACACGTGTTACCTCATAAGACTTGTACATAGTTTAACCTTTTTATTTAGATTTTATGTCATAAAAAACACAAACAAAAAAACATATCAGTAGATTTTTACTGGATATCTGGGATATCTGCCATTTTCACAGTTACTATTCTTCAAAAAAATTGCTCCCGAAGCTGTATCATCGGTGTATGATGAGCAGTTGACACATTGTATGTGTGTGAATGGGTGAATGTGACATGTCTTGTAAAGCACTTGAGTGGTTGGAAGACTATAAAGACGCTGTATAAGTACAGTCTATTTACTATAACTATTAATGTGACAGAGACAGACTAGATTTCTAAGTCTAAGGGTATTTTTTGAAGAACAGATTTCAAATTGGAGTGTAATGTCTGGATGCAGCAGAAAGTTGTACAGCAAACACTTTAATCTAACAACATAGAAGTGCAGTCTGGTTGTTTTGTGTTTGTTTTTGCTTTGTTTGTTTTTTTCTTTGTCCAGTGTGATTGCAAGCACATCTCTGGCATCACAGCAGTGAAAAATCTATATTGCACAGTACGAATTTCTTGGTTTTAAAATCCCATTGTCCACTTTTTCATCTGCATCTCCTTTCAGAATACCAAATATTTAACGTGGCCTTTAGCAGCAGTCACAGTCAGTTCTCTGAGATATTTGACTGTAGCTATATAAATTAATCAGCTCTGTTACAACAACAACAAAATAATAGCATGTCAGGTTTTTTAAGAGCTTTTTTATTTAACTTTTAATTTCCAGCTCCAGCTGTGTGGCATTGCCGACCGGGTGAACCTGGGTCTCATCCCGAGCTCCGAGGACGGCTGGCCTGTTGCTTGTCGACTGCTGAAGAGAACAACCGGTGGCATTTTGCACATTCACCAGAACGTCACCTCACCATTACCGAACACGGCAGCCGTTCGAGCAATCGATGATGCCACCCAGAGGGTTTCTGGGAAGACAGCTGGCAGAGAGGTGTGGCGGGCCTGGGCCGATGACACAGCAAACCACATCACCTCTCTTTTAAAGGACGTCACCGGTGCACCGTGGACGACAAACATCCAGCACACAGAACACGTGAAGTCGTACGCGCCTCATGTCCACCATATTGTGCTGGATTTAGAGTGCAGACCATCCTGAGCTGAAGAGATGAGCACAGACACCGAGTGGACAGTATGACATTCACCATATTAATGTGCCACTTCACTCTAGAGGAAGAACAGAACAGTGTGGTGCAGAAGTTTCTAATGCAACACAACTCTATCTGGTTTCTGTGTTTTTTATAAAGCTTTATTTATCCAGGGCAGGTTCACTCAACACAAATGCTGGTGTTTTGAGTGTGTGTTTTTTTTCTTCTTCTTAGAAACGCCCTGTCTCACACGCATGCAATTATAATCCCATCTGGTAGCTGCCAAGCCACAACCACAACCACAGCCTTATCTGTTGGCCACTGGACAGCTGTGGTTTAGGTGCTTTGCTCAAGGGCACTTCATTGTTATGCTCACTGAATTGCCCTCGACCCTCTTGTGGTTGGCCAGAGATGACTCACATCCACTGCTCCTCACTCTCACATCAGCGTGCTGGTAAATACAGGAACTTATAAAACCAATAGTATGACTTGTTGATCTACAGGATTCATGTATTTGTGTGGTTGTAAATATGAACCTTTATGAGACATTTTAATGCACCCAATATAAACATATAGTGCTAATGTGTTTAGAAGTTTAGGAGGCATCAGCAAATTTTTGTAGAAATACTCACAAATACTACATAATAGTTTCATTTCTGAGCTGAAGACAAGCAGACAAATTAAAGGGAAAAACAGAATGCAGATGCTTCCATACAAGGTTTCACGGAGGGTTTCCTGAGTATGGAAATGATGTGAATCATATGATATGGCCTTCGCAGTCATCAGGCCTGCACTCAGCTGAACAGCTATGCTAAGATTCTGGACCCAAATAAGGGAATATCTTCTGGATGAATGGTGTTAATCCTTTCGTAGAAATCTATGCCAAGGATCACTGAAGCTGTTCCGGCAGCTCGTGGTGGACCGACATGTTACTTAGACGGTCAATATGTTTTCATCTGAAGTGTGGTATTAATCATCTGAAATACAAAGTCATCAGAACTATCCAGGGCCAGTTCTTGTCCATTCTCAGTGAAGCTTGATATCTCAGTTTATAATATAAATTGAAGGAGGTACCTGGTTGTAGCCTTAGGCCTCATGCACTAAATAAGGTGAGAATGGGTAGAAAAGACAGTTTAAAAAAGGTTATTAACCTATCTTCTGTGTGGACATCTCATACTGACATGTATGTGATGTAAACAGGATTTTAGAACCACCTCCATGAGACCCAACAGACTCTTATTATAGTGTTTATTTGCTTTACAATGTGTGGCTCTAACATAACTTTGCATACACCCTGACAATAAATAATGGCTTAGTGTAAAACAGGGAACTACACGAACACACCATCTGTAGTGTCTTTTTCTCCCAGTGGCATTTGGTTTATATTTTGTTTATATAATTTACACTGTCTCACGTCTTACTGTGATATTTGTTACTTTACAGAGGCAAGAAAACCTGCACTTCCGTTTTTCCAATTTTTTTTAAAACGTCATTTAATTCCAAAACCCTGTCACGTAAACTTTTTGCGTGGGTGGAAAAACAGGGAGCAGATAATTATTCAGACCGTTTCAGTGAGTCAAGATGTTCCACCATGCAGATCTCCTGTGGTAAAATCAGGACCCTGAGGAAATGCACCTGTCATGGAAAATGTGGAGAGGCGCTCCCGATCTGTCGCTGCAAACTTTCCTTTATCTTCCGGTACTCGGGACTCCTCTAACACAGCGCACGAGGGGCAA